AATAAAAATCTCATTCGAAAGAAGGTGTCAAGGTTTTTTTTTGGGTTTGTATATTTCCTATATTATTTCATCATAATTACATAGTTACAAAATAACTTATATTTACTTATAGTCATTATTACCACAAAGCATATTGTTATTAATTGACCAGCACAACCTTTCTTCATTCATTCATTCACTTGTTACCTTTCTTTAACCTTGAGCCAGCGTATGATTTCATTGAGACATTATTTTGCAATAGTTTTGAGAAGATTTTGGCCTTAAACTCCATTCATGGTGGAGGGATACATGCAGGGCGCTGTGAGGCAAAATAGTCCCCAAAGAAAACTTATTATTTCAGATTTTCCACTATTTTCCATCATCAACATTCCATATAAACTCAGAAGACTCGTGTAGGTTCACTGGTGGTTCTGGATAGTAAATAAAATGTCTATATTTGTGTTGTAGTCATGGCGACCCCTGGTTCCTATCACCACCACTGTAAAGACATCTGAACCATTTCACACCAAACCACTCTGAATGACTGAATTATGAAGATGTTTAAAATGGTGGGATACAGTGAAATGATATTACAAGCCAGAAGAAACCCCTACCTTGTACTTCCGCTCACTGGCCACTTTATTAGAAACCCCTACCTTGTACTTCCGCTCACTGGCCACTTTATTAGAAACCCCTACCTTGTACTTCCACTCACTGGCCACTTTATTAGAAACACCTACCTTGTACTTCCACTAACTGGCCACTTTATTAGAAACACCTACCTTGTACTTCTGCTCACTGGCCGCTTTATTAGAAACACCTACCTTGTACTTCTGCTCACTGGCCACTTTATTAGAAACACCTACCTTGTACTTCCACTCACTGAAGGAGCTGCTAATGGTGTTCTCTGAATAAGGTTTAAACATCATTCAGTGTTTGAGTTTACCTGGAAACAGAAAGTGCTAAACCAACTTCTAAGACTGAACTGTGGAGGTGTGTCTGCAGATTCTTTGAGAAACTGAAAGTGAGTCTCCTGAAAAGAAAGGAGGCTGCAATAAAGGTAAAGAGTGACTCACAGACTGAACACTCACACAGCTGATACTAGCTGTAGTTGTTCTGTATGTGATTTTTAAATATGTATTCCTTGTTTTGAATAACTTATATATAATATGTGTTTTGAGTATAAATTAAATGACCTTCATTCTGTTGGCCTATTTAAACTGAATGTTTGTATACAGTAGATGTGGTTTTGTCCTCACCTACTCATTCTAAACAACACGGCAGGAGTCACTGCGTCCTTTCACTTCATGGATAATGAGCAGCGCTGCTTTTATAACCCAGTTTATTTGTTCAATATTTCATTAAAGTCTTTGATGGCCAGAAGCCAGAAGGTCTATCTGTTGTTCAAGAGTTTTTAATAAGATGTTATAGCAATACAGAAAACATACTTTCACACAAGACCTGTACATTATCTAGATGTACTCATACTTACTGGCCACTTTATTAGAAACACCCACTTTGTACTTTGACTCACTGGCCACTTTATTAGAAACACCCACCTCACAGCTCCAGTCTGTAGGTGTACAGTTGCAGACTGTGGTCCATCTGTAGTTCATGTGTTAACAGATTAATTTCCATTTAGAAAATCAACAAAACATGGAATTTGACCAGGTGTGCATCTCGTCTGTTTATCACTCCACTTCCTCCTTTGTCATTGGTCAGTTTCAGTTCTAAAGTGCCTCTGTTGTCCAGACATTACTTGGGTGGTGGATCATTCTCAGCTACAGTGGGTGAAATAAGTATTGAAAACATCATCAATTTTCTAAGTAAATATATTTCTAAAGGTGCTATTGACATGAAATTCTCACCAGATGTCGGTAACAACACATCCAATCCACACGTGCAAAGAAATCAAACCATAGAGGTCCATAAATTATGTGTAATAATGAGAAATGACACAGGGAAAAACTATTAAACACGCTTACTGAAATTTATTTAATAATCCACTACTTATTGTTTTCTTTGAAACAACTGTACCTGCTGATTCCAGGTCTTTCTGTAGCTCTGCACAAGTGGTGCTTGGCTCTTGGACAACTCGTCTGATAATTCTTTTCACTCCTCTGTCTGAAATCTTGTGGGGAGCGTCTGGTCATGGCTGGTTTATGGTGAAATGATGTTCTTTCCACTTCCAGATTATGGCCCCAACAGTGCTCACTGGAACCTTCAGTAGTTTAGAAAATTCTTCTGTAACCAATGCCATCAGTATGTTTTGCAACACTAAGGTTGCGACGGTCTTGAGAGAGCTCACTGGTTCTACCCATCATGTGATGTTCCTTGTGTGGCACCTTGGTAATGAGACACCTTTTTATAGGCCATCAGTTTAACCAGCTGATATATTCAGAAACTGACCAATGATGAATGAGGTAGACGAGTGATGAACAGGTAAGATATAGTCAGTAACTCTAAATCTACAAAGTGTGCTTACAGCGGTGTGCAAAAGTTTTAGACCCCCTGCTTAAATTCTATGTTGTTATCTGAGTGTAAATAAGTGAACACATCCTGAACAGAGACACACTGCTGAACACTGTAATACACAACCACTGTTTATTGACTGAATTTAAGACAAGATAAGACAAGATAAGACAAAATAAGATAAGATAAAATAAGATAAGATAAGACAAGATAAGATAAGATAGCATAAGGTGATCCTTTATTAGTCAAATCCACTGTGGAAATTAACTAAAGGACGGGGAAATAAAATATACAATGTGCTATGTTAAATCATGGCACATTATATATATATATATATATATATATATATATATATATATATATATATATATTCCCAATACATTAAACTCAGAAAATAAGTAGAAATTCTGCTCTGACATTTGGGCTTTTTGAATATTTGAATATTTTTCATAGTTCAATAGTTATTTTATTGGAACTGTATTAATCCACATTAAACCCTCTACACAAATGTACCTCTCTAGAGATTTCCACCTGTATTATATGTATTAAATGCTGTCTGTCTGCATTTCTGTCTGTCTCTCTGTAACATATATTACAACCATATGCAAAAGTTTGAACACCCCTGGTCAAATTACATGTTTTGTATATTTTCTAAGTAAAGTAAGTAATTTGCTGGGAAGTAACTTTAAATGTGGGAGTTTGTGTGGAATTTTACACATTTTCTATTAATTTGTTGATTTTTGTTTAAATATTAAAAAACGAAACAAAAAAAGTATAAATGTGCCAAAAACATAACTTTTGTACAGGCCACATCTAATGCTTTAATTGCTTTATGATGTTTTAAATTAAGTAAATAAACAGTGATTGTGTTGTAAAATGTTCTCTGTATATATATATATATATATTATATATATATATATATATACACCCATATCACTCATCCACTTTTCTATAATTTAGGTCACTTAAACTGAAGCATATGTTGTCATCACACCTTATTTATTTATTTATTTATTTATTTATTTATTTTATTTTATTTCCCCACATCGTGACTGTATTGCCTCTCTGTCTCTATCAGCCCCCCCTCCCCCCCCCTCCCCTTCCCCCTCCTTTCCTCTATCGCCTGATTAAAGTGATTGATTGAGTTTTATTCAGCTGGTTTCAGCGCTGGAGTTCCTGCGTCCTCCTTCCTCATCTCCACATTCAGCAGAGCCAGCGGAGAAAGAAGAAAACGACACTGGACACGAGTGTGGAGAAGCGCGGGGCTGAAGAACAAAGCCGCGAGATTCGGATGAAGAAGAAGATAACCCCTCCATACACCCCCCCACACACCCCCCACTTCGAGAATAAACAAACCACGGCGATCTATTGATCAGCGATAATGTAATAAACAGCGCGCGGCGGGGCTTCTCCCCCAAACCCCCACCCCCCATCAGATACTGCGAGTGGACGCGTGTCCGCGCAGAGGCGACTCTGTGGAGGCCGGTCCGGCGATTCGGATCGTAATTCCGCCGAACTGCGGCGCCTGTTCTCGGGGTTCGGCTTTATCCGCGTCCAGCGACGCGTTAATCCGTGAAGACGGGGGCGATTCTGCCGCCTTTCTGCTGCTGCGTCCTGCCGCACGTCGAGGAGTTTAATTATTTTACCGCATTCAGCTGCAGCTCCCCCCTCCTCACATACACACACACGGACACACACCCTCACATACACACACTCACTCACTCACGAGAGAGAGAGAGAGGGCGAGAGAGAGAGAGAGAGCGGGAGAGAGACAGTCAGATCAACACCTGTACGCCCAGGCAGGCGCAGTGCTCTCGCTTTCTTCTGGAAAAGAACAGAAATCCAGCGCTGCCTTCGACGCTAAAAGCCCCCCGAGCTCAACCGCGAGCGCGGACGGAAAGGACGGGGACTTACAGAACAACCTCGGACCTGTTTTTTTGCGGGGGAAACATCGCCGAGATAAAAGACTCTGAACACGAACTCCGCACTCCAGAATCCACCAACGAGGCAGAGCAGCATCGCAATGTGGACTGACGCGCTTTCCTTCGCCACTTTCTGCTTTTTCTTACTCGCGACCTCTGAGGATTGATTGATTCTTTCTCCATCTTTCCCCCCCCTTTTCTCCCCCCCTCGTCCAACTCGATGGATTTTTGCCACTGCAGCTCAGCAGAGGGTGTCAGATCCACCAGCGAGCACCGAGCCGGATCTCTCTCTCTAATGCCCAAAAAGAAGCCGGAACATGTAAGGGTTGCGGATTAATTCTCATTCCTCCTCTCCCTTCTCTCTCTCTCTCTCTCTCTCTCTCTCTTTTCCTCTGCTCCTCTATCTGTCTGTCTCTTCAGCGATCTCGCTTTTTTGCTCCGTCTCTTTTCTCTGGCCATGGACTGCGATCAGAGCTGAGACCGCGGGGCTGTGGATTTCAGCACCACGCAAGAAAAGGACAGCGCCCGCTGCGTTTCAGCACCGCGGACAGCTACCAGTGATGATGACTAACTGAAAACAAAGCAAAACAAAAAAAGAACAAAAAAAAACAAAAAAAAACTGCGGATTTGTGCCGTGCAAGGTCAGTGAGCGATTTGATGAGCTTATAATAGACAGCAACAAAAGAAAGAGGCAAATGATAATACGGAGATGCTGCCTTTTATCATGTGTCGAGAGCAGGAAAGAGCCTGACGATGGCGAGATGATCAGACAGATTGTGTGAGGCAAGTCCGGAACGGACATCGCCGAGTCAGGCTGGCATGGATGTGACCACCACGAACTGCCGTCTCCTTTCTTTCGCCTGGTGATGCGTGCCTGTGCGAGAGTGCGCGTGTGCATGTGCATGTGTGCGAGCGTGTGTTGTTCTTATTTCGCTCCGGAGAAGCGAAACGCATCCCACTGATTCGCGTTCACGGCTTTGGATCCGGGGATGATTTGCTGGTGTTGACAAAAATGCTGCTTTGGATCGTCTTGCTGAAGGCGGCTCTTTGCGTGGCTACTAGAAACGTTACGAGGGACGTGTGCAAGGAGCAGATCTGCTCCTGCAACGCTGTAGAGGGCGACCTGCATATTGACTGCGAGAAACGGGGCTTCACGAACCTGCAGCATTTGACTGGCCCAAGCTCGCAGTTTTATCACCTCCTGCTGCATGGGAACTCCTTGTCCAGACTCTTCCCAAATGAGTTTGCCAACTTCTACAATGCCGTCAGCCTGCATCTGGAGAACAACGGCTTGCACGACATCGTGCCCGGCGCTTTCCTCGGGCTGCAGCTCGTCAAGCGGCTGCACATCAACAACAACAAGATACGCTCTTTCAGGAAGAGCACGTTCCTCGGCCTGGACGATCTGGAGTACCTTCAGGCTGACTTTAACCTGCTTAGAGACATTGACCCTTCTGTGTTCAGGGACCTGAGCAAGCTCGAGGTTTTGATCCTGAATGACAACCTCATCAGTGCGCTCCCAATCAACGTGTTTCAACACGTACCCATCACCCACCTCGACCTACGGGGTAACCGGATAAAAACGTTGCCTTACGAAGGGGTGCTAGAACAGATACCGGGAATAGTCGAGGTTTTATTGGAGGACAATCCATGGGACTGCAACTGTGACCTGGTTTCTTTGAAGGAGTGGCTTGAAAACATCCCACAGCGGGCTCTCATTGGCCGGGTGGTTTGTGAGGCCCCTGCAAGGCTCCAGGGCAGTGACTTAAATGAAACAGCGCAATCTGAGCTGTGCCCATCAAAGGATGGCGCCGATTCGAGCTTGGCTGCTCCACCCACGCAACGTGAAGCCTCAGATTTGGGACCTCCACCCACATTATTGGTTACTGAGGTGCGCCCAGGCCGCGAACGACCCAAAGCACGAGAGAACTGGCAGCTGAAAGCGCCTACAAGCACTGCTGGAGAGCGCGACATAGTTCTGCCTTCCAACAACAATGCCACTGGTGCTTGCCCACAGCCATGTGTCTGCAAGCTGATTGGCACAAGGCAGGGACTTGGTGTAAACTGTGAAGGCAAAAAGATAGAGAGCGTTTCCAGCCTAAAGCCCAAACCCATTGGTGCTCATGAGCTCAACCTGCGTGACAACAATATCCACACAGTCAGAAGGTTGCAGTTCAGGGGCTTCACAAGCCTGAATTTGCTCGACCTGGGGGGCAACAACATCAAAGTGATTGAGAATGGCACGTTTCAGTACCTGAGTGAGTTGCGGTGGCTCTACATGGACAAGAACTACTTGGATACCCTTATGGCGGATATGTTTGTGGGCCTTCAGAACTTGGAATATCTCAGTTTGGAGTACAACGACATCCAGCTGATAGTGGCAGGCGCTTTCAGCCCCATGCCCAACTTGCGTGTGCTGTTCCTCAACAATAACTTGCTGAAGTCGCTGCCCGTGGACACCTTTCTGGGAGTTTCCCTGTCCAAGATCAGCCTGCATAACAACTACTTCACCTATCTTCCTGTGGTGGGTGTTTTGGACCAGCTGGTCTCCGTCATCCAGATCGATTTGCATGGGAACCCTTGGGATTGCTCATGCAACATTGTGCCATTCAAACGTTGGGCCGACCGGCTGGCCTCAGACGTCATCGTCAGCGATCTCAAGTGCGAGTCTCCGGAAGAGTTCTGGAAGAGGGATTTCCGGAGGATCAGGGATGACCTCATGTGCCCGCAGCTTTTTGATCAGCCTCCGTCCGGCACTGCACCATCAAGGAATGGCTCTTTGGCATCCGGGGATGGGGGAACCCGCTCGGGATCCTACCTGGAACCCAGCCGAGTGTCCATCTCTGTTCTGGTGCCGGGCCTTTTGTTGGTCTTCGTCACATCCGCCTTCACTGTGGTGGGAATGCTGGTGTTTGTCTTGCGCAACCGCCGCAGGTCCAAACGCCGGGAAGGCAACTCTTCCGCCTCCGAAATCAACTCTCTGCAGACTGTGTGCGATTCGTCTTACTGGCATGGCGGGGCTTACCATGCAGATGGACCCCACCGGCCTTACGACTGCGGTGCCCACTCGCTTTCTGACAAGTGAAGCCTTTGGGGGGAAAAGTGCGCAGGGATAAAAATGCGCAAAATAAAAACCCGTTGCAAAAAAGCAACGTGCACTGCTGCTGTGTGACAAGGGAGAAAAGGGACGAGCTCACTTTCTCACTTGCTTCTATTGGGAAATAGCCTATTTTTTATTCACTTCACTTGACTATGGTGTTTATGAGCCAGTGCTATGGAACCAATATTGTAAAATAGGCAATGTGCACTGCTGCTGCGTGACGATGGGAGAAGAAGGACGAGAAAAAGGGGCGTCCTTTCGCCGCTCGCCTCTGTTTGGGAAATATGGCCTATTTTTATTCACTTCAGTTGACTACAGTGTTTATGAGCCACTGCTATGGAACCAATATTGTAAAATATGTACAGGGCACCCTCCTTCCCTCCCTCCCTGCCTCCTTCCTTTCTTCCCTCCCTCCATCCTTTCCTCTCTCTCTCTCTGTCTCTCTCTGCCGCATTCAGACTGAAAACTGAAGTACCAGGGGACCTGGAAAAATGGTGCACGAGTGCAATGTGCATGAATGTAATGTACATAAGGAACTGTAACATATCTGCATGATTCGCATGGTTTCGACTCACACTGGGAACCATACCATAGTTACAAAGATGCCAACTCAACCCTTCTTTCATGATATCAGTATAAATATATATATATAAATATATAAATATAAAAAAAATATAAACTCTATATGAATATATTAAAAGTGCCATTTCTCTATTTTTTGTGGAAAACGCGATTAGGATTTGTATTTGTCGTTTCATTTCTGTTTCGAGGGGGAAAGAGACAGAATGCATGTAGGCTTCTTTCTGTTCTATCATTCAACTGTTGATATCAGAATTATTTATATTATTTAGTGCGGATTCTCCAGAGAATCCTGCACAGTCATCTCCTTTATGAATGTATTATTGTGTTACAATGCAGTGTGCCAATTGCTGACGTTCAGACCTTCGGGGATGCAGATATAAGCATGACCAGTTAACGTCATGTCGGCGCTTATACTGCAAAATGTACAATGTAGCTGAAACGGTTGGTGATCTTGTACGTGTTTAAAGACAAACTCTGCATGAACAACAATGCAAAGAGAGTCTTGGAAGGTTTCTGATGGCATATTTTTTCAAATTTATTTTCTATTTTGTTATTATTATTTCATTTTCAAATGCAACATGTTGGGATGTCAATGTTTCGGTTGGTGAAAAATATCTTTTTTTAGGGAAATTCCTTCACAAAAAGCCTATTAGTATTAATATTATTGTTATTATTATTCACTTTTAATTATCGTGAGCTTTCGTAAAGCCATTTATTTCATCCAAATAGGAGAAAGGGAAATGGCATTTTTTCTTCTTTTTGTACCTGACATGTCCTCTACTGTGAAGCAAGCAGTGTAAATATATCCACTACACGGACGGCTCGGTGGCCACTGTACAGGCATAGGTTTACTTTCTCGAGGCAGAGGCTGCCTCTAGATGTCACTGTTGCATCTCAACCCAATAAAGCCGAGAGTCAAAGCTCCTTGGTGCATTTGAGCAGCTTCAGGTAGAAGTTGTCCTTTGATCTGATCTGGGGTCAGGTTCTTTTGACCCTAGTCGTTATGAAAGAATAACAAAACTGCTCTAAGATCAAAGCCAAATAGGGCAACTTCTTTGAAAACCCACCAAACACCACTCACAAGATCCAACTTAACAGGCCTGTGCGTTTCTACATTGGGCAAAGACAAGAATCTCAGACAGTACCAAGAACTTTAGTTGCAAAATATCATTTCACACAAAAATAGATGCTTCGACGAGCCACCGCTAAGGTTTCTTTCAACATTGTTTTCTTGTTTTATAAACAAAAACAGGCCAAGAACATAAACTGACCCATGTAGGGGGTCATGCCTGTAAAAAATTAGCAAGGCTTCAATGGTTCCACACCAGTAGACGTAAACAAAGCTGCCTTGTAAGTCATGTTTTCGTTATTGTGATCTGTTTTTAAGACGAACGACCTTTTGATCACAGTGACATGTAACCAGCGTATGAAAACACAGCGTAGTGGTTTGTTATTAGCGAACAAACATGTCTGGGGTGAGACGAGGCCTCTATCTCAGTACTGTGAAGTGGGTGAGGGTGGTCAAATAGCCATCTAGCAGAATATCGCAGCCGCAAACTCAATCCCTTCCCCTGCAGCCACACTTCTGGACCTGGTACAGTTTCAGTACAGTTGTAGCTGTTTATCATTCCAGGGCATCTGTTCGTCTCTCTTTTTCTCTCTCTCTTTCTTTCTCTTTCTATCTCTCTCTCGTCACACGTGGAAGGATACTTACCTTCTCTCCACTCTGGAATACAGCAAGACATTCTGGCTCATCTATTATTTGTTGCATTTTATTTCCTCCCAAAAAACTGTCTCCAAACGAGTTGGATTTCTTTGCTTTTTTGCTACGTTCCACCTGCTTACTGTTTGGTTAAATAAAGTGTGGTTGAGGTTGAGTAATGTCTACACTGGGGCTATTTTCATTACAACACTGTTAAGAGAGTGAACCAAAAGACGTTATCTCTGTTGTATCTATGTATTATTTGCTTTTTAAAAGAAAAAAATGTCACAATCAGCCAAGTTATGGTTATGAAAGAATAACATCTGGCTTTTAAAGAAACAAAACGTGTATTCATTGCGGTGTTGTTCTGTATGAGGGCAAAGATGGAAAGAAAGAAAGCAGCATTGCCCCCAAGCGCTGTTCGTAGGATATAGAGTCGTCCCGCTCACAAATGCTAAAGATCACGTCGGGGCAAGGTAACCTGATGGAATCTGTCTGGATAGGTCAAAGCGACGGAGATGAATTTGTAACCCCAACCCTGAAAAAAACCCAATGACATATGGCATGAAGTCTGCAGCTAAAAGAAGCCTACTGGAGATACGAATGAAAAAACACCGCAAAACGTTAAGTGTACACCGCTTATCCTTTACCACAGATCAGCCAAGACGTTTGGTGTCTTCTTTAGCTTTTGCACTGGAGCTATGCTAATGTAGCTTACAAGAAATCAAAGCATATGTTGCGTTATTAACATTATATTGTTGATAGGAACCAGGGGTCGCCATGTCTACAACCCAAATATAGCCCTTTTATCTACTATACAAAACCAGTGAACCTACACGTCTTCTGAGTTTTATATGCAATATAATATTCATATGATGGAAAAATAATGGAAAATCTGAAACAATAAGTTAATAATAAATAATAAGAACAATTTTGCCTCAAAATGCCCTGCATGTATCTCTCCACCATAAACGGATTTAAAAGTACATGGTATATATAAATATCAGGCAGGGTGCTCACCACCACTACCAGTCGTAGTTTTTAGAGGCGTTAACTCTCTAGACGTCTGGTTCCTATCACCTCTACTGTGAATATATATTTTTTATCTTTATTTTATTATTATTTACAAACCACCATCCCCAGCTGTGGGGGATTACTTTATATTTTAATATTGTTTAACATGTTATGCATGCATACATACATCTATATACAGTTGTATGCAAAGGTTTTGCCGCCCCTGGTCAAATTTTCATGTTGCTGTTCATTTTCTGTGAAGTGAAAATAATTTACCAAATCTTCTACAGAGAAGTGCAAAATCACTGCTTATTTGCAGAATTTGATATATTGGAGGGATTAAACATAAAGTGTGATCTGTGAAAAAGTTTTGCCATATTTGATACATTATGTTTTATTTTTCTCCTAATATGTTAAACTCAAACAAGCAGTAACTGTGCATTGAAGTGTGCTGTAGAGGACAGGATGTGTTGACTTATTTTCACTTAGAAAATCAACAATAACATTGAAACTTGACCAGCGGCGGCAAAACTTTTGCATACGACTGTATATAGTTGTATATATGCATGCATAAAATATTGAACAGTATTAAAATATAAAGTAGTCCCCCACAGTTGGGGATGGTGGTAAGGGCTGAGATTAAAAAATATAATAATAATATAAAAAGAAGTAAAAATATTTCTATTTGGTGATAGGAACCACACGCTTAGAGAGTTTAATGCCTCTAAAAAACTATAACATGAAATGGTGGAGAGTCCATTTATGATGGAGGCAAAATTTTGGCAAACTTTTGCACACAACTGTACAACAACTATCAACCAAACAATATGAGTAAAATGTGCCATGTACAATAGATATTTATTCAATTTATTCAATAGATGTTTTTATGTGTAAATATTTCTGCAATTCTGGAAAACTGTCTACTTCTTAACCATTTATTTATGGCCAACCTTTGAGAAATCAATGGTCAAATGATCTCTAATAGACTTGATGATGTGGTTTCTGACTCTGTATGATTCACCGATATCTATAAACATGGACTAAAGTACATTAGCATAGCTAAACACAGTAGTGGCAGTGCACTTTTGTCCATCAATAGCGATGATATCTTGCAGATAGCATCATGCTAATTGGTGGACATAAGCTTCCATTACTTGTTAGCTACATTAGCCTCATATCTCCAGTGCAAAACAGAAGAAACAAACTTCAGACATGTCTTGGCTGATCTTCGACTACATTTGGAGTACGAGAGGGGAAAGAGCGAATTAAATCTGGAGGCATAATATTCCTCATATGCAGCATGTTTATGAGTTAAGTGTGCCACCCTTGTTCGGGCATCTGATGCCGTGTACAGGCAGCATGTTTACTGTTGTTTGCTTTGGGCACAGATGTGCTGATTTCACGCATCACTCAGAAGTGCGGAGTGAAAAGGGAAGCAGGTGCTTCACCTGATTCGCTCGTTTGCATGATGAGTATGAATGCGCCGTCAAAACGGGGACGCTCTGGGTTGAAGTGTTGTCAAGGGATACGAGGTAAAAGGTGGAGAGGAAGTGCTGTCATCACGTAGAGCTCAGATTATCAGCAGGGATTGGGGTTTGTGTGGAGGATCTGGATTAAACAGATTAAATGCTGTTTGACACTATTGGATCACTCAGCTGTTCAAGTTTGGAATCACTGTCATTAATAACTGTTACAGGTATTCAACAACAGCTTATATGGAGTGTGTACTCCAGTACTATAAACGTGACACCAAAAGGTATTTTTAGAAGCTTTATTCAATTATTTATGTAACAAAGAGATCTTCAAATTATGAATAATTCATAGAAATTATATATTCATAGCCATTTCTTGTTATCCGCCTCCAGATTTGGTCACTTTTGAAAAACAAAGCTCTCTGAATAGTAATTTGACGTCATTCTAGGTATCATTTTTTTAATTAATTTTATTATAACCTCATTCTGGATGTACACTTAATCAGAACTTCATTCTGGATAATATTTTTTACTTCTTCATTCTGGGTATTAATTTTATTAGTTTTTTATTTTGAATAATAATTTTGTCAGAATTTAAGGACTCATGTTCTGCATCTTTCTAAGGCATTTTACAGCTCATTAGATAATAATTTATGAAGTATAAAAAGTAAATGGGTCAAATAAGTTTCTTTAGAGTGATGACAGAGAAGAACAACTTTTGGTTCCCTGAAAATTTCAATAATTTGTTCAAACAATTGGTGTTACAATCTGGTGTTACATTATTGAAAACAGTGATTCCGAACTTTTGAATAGTATCGGAGGTCATTTGAATTATGATGATGAAAAATATGATGAAAATAATAAAC